CCCTCCGCTCCCGGCCCTCGCTCTCCACCCCCTCCCTCCGCTTTATACAGGGCCTGGGTACCCCCTGGCAGCCCCTCCGCTCCCCGGCCTCGCTCTACAGCCCCTCCCCCCGCTTTATGCAGGGCCTGGGTACCCCCTGGCAGCCCCTCTGCTCCCCGGCCTCGCTCTACAGCCCCTCCCCCGCTTTATACAGGGCCTGGGTACCCCCTGGCAGCCCCTCTGCTCCCCGGCCTCGCTCTACAGCCCCTCCCCCGCTTTATACAGGGCCTGGGTACCCCCTGGCAGCCCCTCTGCTCCCCGGCCTCGCTCTACAGCCCCTCCCCCGCTTTATACAGGGCCTGGGTACCCCCTGGCAGCCCCTCTGCTCCCCGGCCTCGCTCTACAGCCCCTCCCCCGCTTTATACAGGGCCTGGGTACCCCCTGGCAGCCCCTCTGCTCCCCGGCCTCGCTCTACAGCCCCTCCCCCGCTTTATACAGGGCCTGGGTACCCCCTGGCAGCCCCTCTGCTCCCCGGCCTCGCTCTACAGCCCCTCCCCCGCTTTATACAGGGCCTGGGTACCCCCTGGCAGCCCCTCTGCTCCCCGGCTTCGCTCTACAGCCCCTTGCCCCGGGGGTCTGGCCCGCCTCCCCCAGCTGCCCTGCGCTCTCCCCCCTCCCAGACCTTATTTAACCCCAACAAAACTGTGGTGAAGATGTTCCTGGTGACGTACGACTTCCAGGACATGCCAGCCAACCACGTGACCTTCCTGCGCCACCGCATCTTCCTGGTGCCTGTGGAGGAGGAGGGGCCCAGCGACTCGGCCTGCGCCGGCCTGCCACGGAGGGTGCTCTGCTACCTGATGCACTTGAGGTAGGGCTGGCGTGGGAGGGGGAGGGACGGCCCATGGCTCCCGTCACCCTGGGGCCAACCGCTCCCGGGGACGGGCTCCTGCCCCACCCCCTCCCTTTCCCTGCAGCCTGTTCCCAGGGGGTGGCCGTTCCTGACGGTACCGCTGGGAGCAAGGGGAGATGGCGGCCATCTCGACTAGGGCAGCGACTTCGCCCGGCACAGGCGCTGCCTCCATGGTGCTCCAGGAAAACGCAGTGGGGGTGGAGCAAGCCTCCCCCCCGCAGGTCTCCTGCGCCAGCGGCCCCGGCTTCCCAGTGCCTCTCCTCCCGGCGGGCCAGCCCCCGGAGGGGTGGGAAGGAGGCGGGGGGAGGGGAAGGGAGGCCTGAAGCAGAGGCAGGGGTCCAGCCCTCGCTGGCAGGAGTCGTCGATGCCTGTGTTGCCCGGGGTAGCTCTTGGCTCTGGTGCCTTCCATGGCAGTGGGCAGCGGTGGGGGACGGGCTCCTGGGAAGCTGCCAGGCATGAGGACCAGGGGAACATCCCCCCCCAGCCTCTGCCCCAAGGAGCCTCGTTCGCCCTCAGGTTTCACAGCTCCAAGTCGGGGAAGATCTACCTTCACGACGACATCCGGCTGCTCTTCTCCCGCAAGTCCATCGAGGTCGACTCGGGCATCCCCTACGAACTGAAATCCTTCACGGAGATGCCAAGGAACCCCTGCTACTCCCCCCGGGCCTGAGGGCGGGGAGCCCCCGCGCTTCCTAGACAAGTAAAGGGCAAGAGAGTGGAGCCGTCTCCTCCCCTCCCCCCCACGGTAACAGCCCCCTGAGCGAGGGGTGGGGCCAGACATGCCCCTCCCTTCACAGCCGCTTGGACCTGTGCCAGCGAGAGAGCGTGGAGCCGGAGGTGATGGGAGGATGGGGATGGTTGCGTTGTGTGCGTGCGTGCGTGTGTGTGTGTGTGTGTGTGTGTGTGTGTGTGTGTGTGCGCGCGCGCGCACTCTGGCTCCTGCACCCCCAGCGGGTCAGAGACTCCTGGGCCTCTGGCAGCCCCGGCTCCAAGCAGCACCTTTCCAGGGAGGCTGGGGAGCTGGGGTAGGACCCTGGGTCTGCGGGGCTCAGGTCAGGCCGAGCTGGTGGGCGTGGGGGGCAGCCGGCGGAGGGGCAGGGG